TACAAACATTGCTCATAGCTCAAATCTGTATCTATTATGCATCACGAACTAGAGCGGGCAGAATATGTTACTGTTTTTCAGTGAATGTAAAATACATTCACTCAAAAACAGTAGTGGCTTCTGTTCGCTCTGCTTCGTCATGCATTAGAGATATGGATTTGACTTGTTGACAAAAGTTGTAGCTAATAAAAAAACCTACAAAAACTCAATACATCATTTTGCGGAATGCTGTTGAAAAAAAAAGTTAGAGGCAAATGAATGTAAATGAATGCACGAAATGAATGCAAATGATTTTCCATGCCTGGTTGCTGCCGAAACCAGGAAAACCACCGGGGCATCCAGCATCGTATAGGTCTATATGCCTGCTGGATACACTCGGAAAACTCTTGGAGAGGATCATCCTAAACAGGCTGACAAAATGCACGGAGAGTGAGCACGGATTGTCGGAAAGGCAGTTCGGATTCCGGAAGGAAAGATCGACGGTGGATGCAATTCGGACAGTGGTCGTGAGAGCTGAGAAGGCGTCCAAACAGAAGCGGAGAGGAAATCGATATTGCGCCGTGATAACGATCGACGTCAAGAATGCGTTCAACAGTGCCAGCTGGGTGGCCATCGCCGAAGCACTGCGTACAATGAGGGTCCCTGACTACAGGATCCTGAGGAGTTATTTCCAGAAGCAGGTTCTGGTCTACGAGACAGACATCGGACATAGATCGATTAGGATCACAGCGGGAGTTTCCATCCTTGGTCCAACGCTCTAGAACGGGATGTAAAACAGCGTGCTAACGCTGAAGTTGCCCAAAGGAGTTGAGATCGTTGGCTTCGTCTTGACGATAACAGGCGAGACGCTGGAAGAGGTGGAAGTGTCGTCAACCGAGGCGATCGACATGATTGGTAACTGGATGCAAGGAGCGCACCACAAAACGGAAGTGTTATTGGTCAGTAACTGTAAAGTGGTACAGCGGGCAGAAATCACCGTCGGGAAGCACGCCATAGCCTCTAAGCGTGTGTTCAAATACCTGGGAGTGATGATCGATGAAAACTTCAACAGCCACGTCGAATATGCCTGTGAGAAGGCTTCGAAGGCCATCAACACGATAGCTAGAATAATGCCGAACAACGCTGGTCCCAGCCAGTGTGTCATCGTCGATACTGAGGTATGGAGGTCCAGCCTGGGTCGCTGGAAACGAAGCAGAACCAAAGGAAACTGAGCAGTACGTTCCGGCTCATGGCCATGCGAGTCGTGAGTGCGTACGGAACCATCTCATCGGAAGCAGTATGCGTTATCGCCGGAATGATCCCTATCGGAATCACCCTGGTGGAGGACAGCGATTGCTACGGAAGTGTACGGAAAATTGTGAGAGCGGAATCGTTGACTAAGTGGCAACAGGAGTGGAACACGGCAGAGAACGGTAATACCGATTCTTTCGACCTGGGTGAACAGAAAACACGGAGAAATCAACTTCCACCTAACGCAGTTCCTGTTTGGCCACGGCTGCTTCAGGAAATACCTAATATATCATAGTCGGCACAAGGATGCTTGAAGCTCGTATTCTGGGGCCTAGATGAAGTTGGCTTCATGTTACAACCCATTGCGTTGGTAGTTAATATATTTGTAGCGGGACAGTCAAAGGTTAATGCTAAAGGCTTCTCAGAACTATCTCTATCAAATTTCGTTGGTCTTTAGCATTCATTCCAGCAGTCAAGAAGTATGCCACCGGTACCTTCCAGCTTTCTTGCACACCGGTGACCATGAATACTAACACACCTTTTGCTGGTAATGTATGGTTTGGAGGCTCTTTTCTATTATATTGGAAAACTCCTTCCAGCCGTTTTAAGGGTTCATTCTATTCCACATGTTGGCGAATTGCCATTTCATCCATAACCAAGCATCCTACCCAAGTAACAATTCAAGCTGATCAGTAAGAACAGAAGCTGATTATTGGTTGACTTAAGGTGTACAAAGCTGATTGACATTAGGCTGAATACAAAGTTGATTAGTTGTGCATGAAGCGAATTGTATCCCCATAATCCAACCTCAATAAGTTAGCTGATCTAAAGATTGAACAAGCCTTCTTTAAGCTTAAAACAACTCCACAAATCAGCAATACGTTACACAAATTTTGATAGCTTGATTTGTTAAATGTCGTCAGTATCTGTGTCACTCGTTGCATTTTCGGCATTTTAGTTCTTCTAAATTCACTGCCTACCTTTCTAATTACAAGCAGGGGCAGCAGTACAGACTAGGAAGAGGAGATTTTAAGGAATAGCTCCAGGTAGATGTGGGCTGCGACGACGTCGGAAGAATTAACATTTGTATTTCTGTGTTTTTACTGCTATATTGCACTGAAGTTTCAGACCACATCCAATATTAATACTCAATTATGGCACTAAAATAGCATCCAAATGACCATCGAAATAAATCACGCGCTTGTGTCCACATTGTATTAGCCGCACTTGAAAATAAGAGGAATGTTTTACTGTCACCAGTTGTTGTTTATAATTCTGCATTGCTGTATAGTACTCTTCCGGTTGCTATTATTCAACTTAAATTTTACGTGCTTCAAGTCAATGATCATACCTTTTGCCACACATATGCTTGAGTGGTCCAGTAGGTGTGATTGATGTCTGTGAATCAGCGACTGCCGGTTCGAATCCCAAAATGCAATGGTAATTTTTAGACTTATACTAACAATATAAATATGTAAATCCTATTAGTCAGCAACAAAATAAAAGCATTTCCACATAAATGCATAAGATATGAAGTCTTCCCTCATTATTTTTGAAATAAAATTAGAAGGCTGAACAAGGGTTGGAAAGACTGTTATTTAATGCCTTAAAAAACTTATAATGTATATTACTGTTAAGCTTTTGGCTGATTAAAATCACCAGATTTAGATGTTTAAAAGCTGAACAAAGGTTAGCGTGGTCTATGCACAAAAAATATTCAATCTAAGGCTGAATTAAAATCGATTAACCAACACTTGTTAAGCATCAAATTGTTACCTGGGCTAATACCAACCGGTGGAAACTAATGATTTTAAATTGACTAGCCTATTGGTTCCAAGCAAATCGATTAACGTACTCCATTCTAGCCGAAATTCTAGTACTACACTATGTTTGTTATGATTTGCTATGAAAATTTGATAGATAAAATGAGGGGTTCGTGGATTTTCCTATGTTTCGAGGGGTGTATCGATTAGCTTGGAACCAAAGATAGTACCAGAGCTGAGCCAAAAAGTTGAGCACGTTTCTTCGGGACCTTCTGGTCTTCGAGTTATTTCTATGCTAATACCCCGTACACACTATGGCTTGTATAATGTAATATAGGCTGTCTTTGTAGTGATTTATTTTCCAGTCGTCTAATTTTTGATCTGAGCTGATTTACTAAAGTTGTTCCTGCACTTGTGGGAGAGCGAGTGCTTTTCCTTCCGTCGTTAACTCTTGCCAATTGATATCACCAGCGTAGCGAATTTGTCTGATGCTAACATATTTAGTATAACATAAATACCAGGCTCGTTCAAAATGTATACCTTTTACGGTTCGCCGATGGTAGAGTGATTTTTTGCGCAGAATTTTGTGTCACGTGTAGTAAACATGGCCCAGTCTGTCTTGATGAATCGAGTTTCTGATCAGTGGAATCTAGAAGCTTGACGCTTTGATTTGATGACTCCGTTATCGTCGAAAGGGGGGGGGGGAGGGGTTCTTGGAACGAGTTTTCACGAGATTAGGTGATATTACAACCTTCTGATTCACGCAGTCAATGCAACTGTTGAAGTTTCAATTGTTTGATTCGATACAAAAAAATCACTTCATAGTAGTAAGAAAATCAAATACCTTTCAACATAACTCAAACATTCGAATATTGTGGGGACTGTGTGGAGATAACAGTACGATTCGCTACTGAAGTGGTTTGAACAAATGCGTTCCGTGTTGAAATTTATAGAGCTCACATCGATGGTCCTATTCCCGCATTCACTATACGCTGTAGCCAATAAAACCTCTGGGAAGCATCCTTGGAGAATCGATGCTTTGATATGCCGCTGGATGATGCAGCTTTATAAAAACGATTTCTGAAACTTACTTCACAAAACATTTCATCTTTAATACTTATCAACATGAAAATCTAGGAATGTTATGACAGGGAAGTCATGAATGGTCCTTTAGATTGATACGTTTTCTCATTTTTATGCTGGCTACGTAAATATGTCGGCGTTCCAGGTCCTTGATGTGCTCAGATTTTCTCCGAAAATATTACTAAATTTATTATTTATAGCTGGTGGATTTCAAAATCTTTGCATTCATTTATCTCCGTAAATACGACTCTAATCTTCAGTTCAGATGTTCGAAAATTTTATACCTGGACTTGCCTCGGATATATGACCATTCTTTTCGGCTAGTTGGATCAAACATCTATAAACCAATTTATCTTTGACCGTTTGATTTTGTGATCGTGATCAATTTCCGTCTTTTATTTAATCTCTATTACCAATTACACCAATTATAAAAACATGCTTACGTTCTATTTATTTCATTTTATTCCAATTAAGATCTTCAGAATCCAACTAAATTTTAATATTTATTAAATCTTCACTAGCTCAACTTCACTCAACTCTAGTTACATACCTGTCAACGCTTAGCAGCTGAGTAAACTAAATCAATTTATACTTATTTTTATTTATCCAGCATTGTAGACAACCTGTCCGTCCGTTTATTTTAGCATAGGGCTCCACAGTACCTGATGGCCATTTTTATTATTTAATATTTAAGCAATAAAACGTAATAATTTCAGAGATCTCAGTAACATTTGTGAGTACTCGGCTATGAAAATCTCTGCAAAACAGAAGTGGCAACACACTTGGTCGATTTTATGAGGGTACGACGAAACGGAGTGTAGTACGACAAAGTGTGGCGAAACCCTATCCAAAGCTTCAGAAGAAAAGCAATCGTATTGAGTGCACTCGAATGCGATTCTCAACGAATAGCTAGTCTCTTAAGTCCTCTTGTGTTGAGCAGCCATTACCTCTGTACATGAGTAAAGTTTCTGGTGTCCTATAATTAATAATCATTACTCCAACATTTGCAAGGAGACTAATTTCTGAACACCTCTTAATCAGATTCTTCACTACCATGGAAGGAATCCAACTGCTCTTTTACCTTCTGCTCTTGGTGTCAACAATAGTTGCCGAAGAAAATTGTCCGATTTCCAACGACGAACTCTCAAAGATTGGCGAAATTCTGACTCATATAGATAAACCCATTTACAAGGAAGAACAAGACGTTCATAGCAATAGTGATGAATGTGCCCACCTGCTCAATAGCATTCACATACAGCTGAGGCGGTTGACTCAAAAATACAAGCTAATGAATAAGGGTTACGTGAAGGTCGAAGAGTTTCAAAAGATGGCCCAGGAATACGATAGGCAACTGTTGGAGTTGAACAAAGAACTGGATCAGTTTAAAAAACAGGCCCAGGGTAGTGCAGAAAATCGAGTGAACGAGCTTAAAAAAAATATCAAAACTTTGGAACAAAACGTGAACAAGCTGAACAAGGATATCAAAGGAGTGACGGCAGAGTACGAAAAAGTGCAGAAGACTTTATGCATAACGTATCTTGAATCGAACCAAATCAGCAAGGCCAAGGACAAGGTAAAAAAAGTGAATTCCAAGTATTTGATTGAAATCATCCAACAATTTTTGAGCATCAGAAACGGCAGTGTGCTGCCAGTAATTGATTTCTCTTCGGCAATTCCGGATCTGGATGACCGTGGCGAAGCATACAAAACGATCTACAGTTTTATTGAATCTAAAAATAGATTAGGAGCAGACGATTCGCTCTTACTGGAAGCAGAAATTCAGAAAATGAATGCAACATTAGAACCGGGATCGAAAATCACCGATGATAGGAAAAACGAAATTCAATCAGTGTTGCAGAACTTGTCAATTTATTCTGAGAAAACATTCATCAAATGGACTGGGGATTTAAACCAATCGATAAACTTGGCAGTTATCAAGAACGCAGTGGACCGTTTATTTCTCACGCAAATGAAAAATCTTGGCGAAAAGATTGGATTTAGAAAGGATTTCAACAGTGTAAGGAATCTTCTCAAACTGCTGGCGTTGTCGAACAATCGTTACAAGATCGCAGCCTACAGGACGTTGATTGATAAGAAAGTTGGGCATGCTTTCGGTATGATCTGGTTTGATATGATATCGATGGACTACGCCGAATTGAAGGCGGATCCTCATGTTTCGGGACTGTTCAATGAAACGTACGACCTACTTCCAGACAGCCTGAAGAAGCTTAGTTCGTGTAAGGACAATGTTAACATCTATCACAGCCAGGAACAAAAACCTGATCAATGCATTGTGACAACTCAGAACACGGTTGAGGTAAAACATCCAAAGCTTAAAACCACTTTGGGACGCTTAAATCAAGTGATTGCTCGGTCCACTGGGTGTACACGCTTTCGACTGGAGTTTACCAACGATAAAGCATCGGTGAGAATTGTCAGTGCGGAAGGAAATGCTCTCACCAACATTAACACGGCTGTACCAGGAAACGTTTGGTTTAGCCAAGTAGGAGCTCCGTATATCAATATGAATGGAGCGAAGCTTGCTAGCAGCCAGGACTGGATTTTGGAGGCGAACCATAACAACGACACGATCAAAATCGAATCGGAGTTCAATGCCTATCAGATGGGAAAATCGATTGATCATTTGCTGCTCAACAGCACCGGACAAGTCCCTTTCGTCGTGATTGGAAGGTATGGATTTTTGGGACTGAAGATGAATGGCGTTCAACAGCTTGTTGAGTGGAAATTCGATTGTGCTGCACAATAGAGCGTGGAATAAAAATTGCAAGTAGTTTGGGATGTTTGTTTTTATTGGCATTGGACGTGGGTTTCCCAATAAGAATACCTAGATCAGAGCCTCTGGCATAAACATGAAATTTGACGTCCAGGTTTGAGGGCGGGAAATGGTTCCAGAATTTGTGACTGTACCTGTAAAAATATGGGCAATTGCGTGATACTTTCAAGGCTCATGATATTTTTTATACGGATTTCTAAGAAGGGAGCTCTGGGAAGAACGTTAGAGAAACATCCAGTGAAATTCAGTTTCAAGGCAATCCTGAGGAACTTTAGTTTCCATGCAGAATACCATTTTACATTTTTGGTCGCAGTGCATTTATGTTCCAAACAGAGGAAAACAAAAGAGGATGCCATGGTAGTTATGAGTAGAATTGTATGGTAATTAGGAAAAGGATTCAAAGGAAACGTTAATGAAAATTAATAGCAATTATTGAGGTTAATTCTTGGAAAATTTTGCAAGAAATGTCTAAAGATTATTTCACGATAACATAAATATTTTCATGGGAACTGTTACAGAATAGAAGGAAAGAAGGATTACAATTAAATCTGATAATAATTCCAGCAGAACTTAGAATGCAATCCAAGAGAATTCTGACTTGAATGCCAAATAATTTTAAAAAGAAATCTATAAAAAAAATTGTGAGGAGAACTGCTAGTGAATTCTTTGGAAAAATTCAAAGGGTATTCTGAAGTGAATTCAACGAAAATTCTGAAAGGTGATAACTTCATTGGTAGAAAGGTATTTTTAAAGAAAATTTCAAGGGAATTGGTTTTTCAAAAAACACTAAAAATTTTGAGGAATATGTCAATATTCCGATGAGTATTCCAAGGATATTCCGGTGATAATTTTTAGAAAACTAAAAAGAGGATTCCAAGAAATTTATGGGGTTTATTTCACTGAGTCAAAGGGAATCCTTACCATAATCAAAAAGATTATTTTGGGTAGAATTCAACGGCCGTGTTGCCACCAGAGATGCCAGATATACAGACATGTCTGTGAATGTACAGACTTTAATTTTTTTCACAGACATTTTTTTCGTTACAGACATTTACAGACTTTTTAGTTTCTTCACAGATATTTACAGACTTTTGTAATCAAGTGAAAATTTTAAAATTTGGTTACACTGTTTTACATCTTTAATCAAATTACACGTGCGATGCATTTTGCAACACGCATTAGAATTTCACACGTTTTCACCACACGAACGAGCTGTCACTTTTATAGAGATTAGTGGCGTTTAACGTACACAAACTAGCGAGTGCATTGTCGTGTAAAGTTGATTATTATTTTCCTGCAGTTTTAGTGCTGAACGAAACAGCCATTTTCGATGTTTTTTTTTACATGAATAAGAGTCGTAACAATGTGGAAAAACAATCGAGAAAAATCAAAGGGAACCCGAGAGGAAACCCCATAACGAACTTTTTCAAACGATCGGGTAAGCTATTAGTTAAGGAAAATCAATATGAATACTTGCACTAACCATTATGTTGAGTTGCATGCAGTGCGCAAAACAGTCAGGTTCATTGAGTCATTTTGATATGAATATGAACTGCCATCTGCCTCATCATTCACTGCCTCGTGAGAGTCTGAATGAATGAGAGGTAAACGAGTCACTGACAGCCGAGTACTCAATCAGTAGCTCAGTCAACACGTTTATTCTGCCGTGATCATTGGCGTAGCTAGACAATTTATCTGGAGGGGGCCTAGATAATTCTGGAGGAGGCCTGGCCCCCCTGGCACCCCCATTAGCTACGCCAATGGCCGTGATGATACCCAATATTTGTTTTAAATGACTGAGCGTACATTTTCTATGGAAAAATGACTCACTTACATGCTGTGTGAGCGAAGGCAAGCGGTGTGCGTCGCCTGCTCGTGAGTGACTGAATGTTTTTGTTGGCTCTTTCATTGCCTCGTCCTTTACCGTTTGGTACAAACGGTCTGCACAGAGCAATGGATTGAATAGTGCAGTGCTTTCACACTCAGCCTAGACAGTCAATAATTTTACGCTCTGGTTCCATGTGATTTGAGGTATCGTACGATGCATTTTGGCGCATGTTAAAATCTGTCCACTTCCCGAGGGATCCATTAAAAGAGGCCATTGTTATCATTGGGTCTGAATATGTCCACGATTGATCTTATAGTAAAATTCTAATGTGATTTAGGTGTCGCATGATGATTTTTTGATAAATCAATCTTTTATCAGTGGAATCTGGAATTCACAGTTTTGTTCATATTTTCGGAACAATAATTCCGATCGGGAAAAACAAATCAATAGCAATCTATTGGGATCTGAAACACATCTTCTGGACCTTGTTCCACTCAAATTGGTCAAGCCATCTCTGCGAAAATTGAGTGAGTTACACTCATATGAACTTACATACATACATACATATATACACACATACAGCATTATTTTCCGATCCCGTTGAGATGAGTCTATTGCAATATGCCATATGTCTCTCCGGGACTTGGAACAAAATTGTGTTTTTCAAGTGATATCAAGCCTTTCGGTACAACTTGGTGAACGAGAAACGCGAAAAGGTTGGTATTATCAAAATGTGTTATATTTAGCGAAGTTTTTCTCCCCCAGGTGTGTAATTATTTTGAAAAATGTAATGAATGTGTTGCTTAATAGAGCTTATTTTAAAACTGTATATATAAAATCGTTACAACAGTGTTAGTGTTTAGCGCCAATTCATCATACTTGGCTTCGTTTTAAGGTACTCTCAATTTCTCGATGATCTTTATTTCGATATTCCTTTCTATCTGAATCGTTTCAGCGACCCTGATCAGTGCTGCAAAATCTCGACAATACACGGTGATATTGACAATTTTGCTTTGGTCACTCATTTGAGCTAACAGTCACAGTCAAAGCAAACCATGTCAATTGTCAATGACAATGCTGTCAGTAACGAACATGTGTAGATTTTTTTATTATCTAAATTTGTAACGAAATAAGATGGCTTTTGCAACAAAATTACATGGAGCCGTTAAAGTTAACAGGCATCTACGCCCTAAACTACTTGGATAACAATAATGGGACTCAGAATGCACGAAATCACATTTTTTTTTAGTAGGTGGATCTTTGTCATTGACGAAAAAAATGAATGATATTTTGCCAAAGGTTTTTTTGAGAATCAAGTCTGTCAGTGACTAGCTGATGAATAATTTTGTTAATATCACGTGAAAGTCTGTCAATGACAATGTCAAATCTCAGCACTGACCCTGATCCTGACTCATCAACAGTTTTTGAGCATGAAGTGTTTAAAATCGTATTAATAAGCTTCTAAATTGTTCATTTGAGTGTCGATTTCTCCATATTCAGGTGGTGGAAAGTTGAATCCCTCACTAAGATGTAATCGTTGCCCCACTGATGGCGTGCAAAAGGACCAGTACTAAGCATCTAACGGATTTTCACACTACATGGCATATAAGATCGACTCAAATTTAAGTTTTCTAGAAAACGTAGTAACTGAGTAAAATTTACCAAGCCTCATAAATCTTTTCAATTATGAAGTATACACTCAAAGAATAAATCACAAATCCAATGAGAATTGCTCCACAAAATCACATGAACCTTATATGTCAAATTAAATTTAAGTGATTTATCATATAGAACTCATGTGATCACATGAATGTTATGTGAAATTCAGATAGATATAATTGGATTTGTTAATGGAAAACTGCATGCTCATATTTGAAAACGAATTCCTGTAAAATCTCGTAAAGTTTTCTCAGTCTATAAGTTAACTACGTTTTCCAGAATATGAACAGTGTTGGCAAAATCATCAATCAAATAATATTTTTCCGCTCTCATACACTCCTAATCTGGGTCTGGCGGACTCGTAATGGATTTCGAACCAATTTGAACTGTCAAAATCGAACCATTTTTTACTGTTCTTATAAGAGCTCATATGGAAGAAACAGATTGGGAGTATTGTAATCTGAGTAAAACGTGTTATTATTTTTGGAAACATATTCATAGTTTTGATGAACAAACGTATTTTTGTTTTTTTTTTAAACTTATTAAAACAACTATAAACAAATAGAATACAAATAAATTAGCAAGAAAATCTTACAGCATCATAGATTTGCTACTGAATCGTCTCTTCTTCACTTTCATCTTCTGCATGTTTTTCAAACGATATGTTATAAATGAACGGATCAATTTTGCTTGAGTATCATGGCATTTAGGCAAGTTAATTGGAATTTGGAGGAGTATGGAGAACATAGCTTTTTAACATCCATTTTTTCTTCTTTTACATGCCGAATATAATATGAAAATATTTTGTTCATTGCCAGAAATTACTCATACAAATCGTGATTTATGAAAATGCTTTCTAGTCGGAAAACTTGGCAAAGCCAGTCTTAGATGGTTTTTCACAAACGCAATGTTCGTAACATTTAGAGCATGTTGCTTATTTTTTTCAATCGCTGCATGCCACATAATAGATCATGCTTTTCGGAGAATTGTTAAAATTTTCGTCACAAATATAAATTCTGAATTTCTCACCAACCGGAAGACAGAAGGCTGTTTCGTCGTTGATCCTAGAGGTTTTTTCCAAGCAGTACTCTATCAGATGAGATCGTTCATCACTCTCATATGAAGAGCCGCCAACGTGAGGCATGTATCCTGAAATTGTGATCGTACGAAGGGAGTCCCGAAACTGAACTGCGTTTGGACGTGATTGTTTTGCTCGCACTTGGGAAAACAGATTTTCAATACAGTCTTGGATAAATCGAGACGTTGGAAGAGGCTGTAGGGATAAAAAATATATTAAGAACATACACAAATATATAAAAAAAAATATGAGGCAGAAACAAACCATTGGAGTAATAACAGCTTTAGTTGCTATTATCACTGATGATTGCCATGGTTTCCAAGCTCCTTTTTCACCAACCTTCACTAGTGAAACTGAATCCGAAAAGTTTTCCAATCTTTGAATGTTTTGCTCGTACTTCCGGGAATCTGATGGGTCAAGCATATCTGAGGAATTTTC